GATTTTTTGTTTTCATAGTATTTATTAGTAAATATATCGTTAGATGTGTTTCATAGAATATTGCATAAAAAATGTTTTTGTGCTTCAAATATGCTGTATGTACCTATAGTCATTCATCAATAATGTTTTCTTAGTCTAACCAACTCGTGGCGCAACTTTTTCTTAGATGTCCAATATCTGAACATTCTTTTATTTTCAGTCATAACACATGATAACGATTCTCCCATTAAGAAAGAACAATGACTAAAATAATTTTATTTATTTCTGTCTTATGATTGCTTATCCTTTGTCACCGGAATTCACTACAGAATCAAGTTAAGATTTAAGTTTTTTGCTCAATTTTTTAGACTATGCAACGATCCAAGTCTATTGAAAGTTTTACTTCAGTAACATTATCAGAGATATGTTCTTACAAACACTTTTCAATATTAAAACTTTCGGTTGTATGAAAAAAATCAATCAGAAGAACTTTGGATAAGAGCCTTATCTTAAAAACCTCTTATCCAATAGTCATTATATAATTTCTCTGAATAACCGTTCGAAAGCATTTAATTCTAAATCTATACTATAAAAATTCATGCCCGCATAGTTCCTATGAAAGGAAAAAGAAGTTCTCTCAAATAAGCAGTTTTTATATCCAAAACAACAAGAAAGTTATTTTCATTAAAAACAGCAGCAATGATGTTAAATATTAATCTTACATATACTTTTCTGTACACTAATTCAACTAAGTATACGTTAGTGCAGCAGTTATTTCATGAAAGAGAACACATATCTGAGTGCTTTTCTCGGCAGAAAATCGAGTAAAATCAAAAATGATTCTTTTTTCTAACATTGGACATTAATGAAAACTTTTCAAAAAAGAATTATCCCTATTATTTAAACATTATTTTTCTACACTGAAATCGCTTGCCACTTCGTGCAAATTACATGCGGTAGTTTGTTTTAATTGATTATATTTTTTTAAAATAGACTTTTACATTTCACAAGTGATATAAACACCATTAGTGTCTTGCATTTGAGACGTGAATACAGATCATCATATAAGCTCAGAGATGTTTAATATCGTTTGCCGTTTACAATTTTGAGGCGCGTTTCTAGATGCGTCTCGAGTGATCGACAATTCAAACGCATCCAACTGTGTCTCTAAAACGCGGGTGAACGCAATGGTTTCTACAAACGCGTTCAGTTGTGTTTTCACTTTTAAATTCATGAAACGCGTTTCTAATTTGGATGCGTCCAGATGCGTCATGAATTTCAACGCGTTCAGATGCGTCCCTGGAACGCGCTTGAACGCAGTCATTGCTGCAAGCGCGTTTAACTGCGTTTTCACTTTTTAAATCGAGAAACGCGTTTGTATTCTGGATGCGTCTAGATGCATTCAACAATCTAAACGCATCCAGATGCATCTCTAAGACGCGATTGAACGCATTTTGTTCAGGTTTCTTAATATAGCCGCGTCTGCACGCGTTTGAACGCATCTAGTCTGTGTTTCAGTTTTACATGGGTGTACAAAAAAATATTTCCATTCAAATTAATTTTTTAAGCCTTTCAAAGATTTTGTCACTGATCGCAAACAAAACTAGACAGAGAANGTTATTGTAAGTTTCAAAAATTTTCCATATACTAAAAAGATGCGAGAATGCAAGGCCTTTTGAATCTTCAATGCTATTCCGTGGGAATAGCATTCTATTAACAAGCGGATGTCTCTGTGAAAGATATTTCAGATTGAAATACTGTAGTTTCTTTATGTTTTTATATGCTGTGACATAGGTGAAAACACCAGCAAAATAGTTATAACTCTCATGCTAAGACATAAGGGTATGTATCATTTTGAAATTTTTCAAACTTCACCAAAGCCTACTTTATACAGAGTCTGAATTCAAAAACGATTTGTTAAATTGAACGATTTCCTCATTAGAAAAAATGGTGTGACATTAAAAGCATCGTTGAAAGTATTGAATTCATTGACTAAAAAAATCAAATCAAGGATATCTGCGACTCTTATGATCGAACAGTATTTTCTGACAATTTACTAGAATTTTTCTAATCAAAACTATATCATATTTTTGAATATTTGTTACCGTCATCTTGTTTAAATACCTCAATCCATTCGATACATCAAATGGCTTCGACATATGAGACTATTCCAATATTCTGAAGTTTCTATGTTAGAGATAAGTTGCTGAATTCAGATATGAAAAGAACGAAACAATTTTGAACTTACAAACCTACTTTTATGCTCTTTTTGCCTTTTAGAAAATGAAAATAACGATTTACATCGGATATCAGAATGGGTGTTGCTGACTGTGGGTGTGTTTTTAAATAAAAGAGCGAATTAACAATGTGCTGAAGCAGAAAAAAAGATCACAGAACTAAAAAATAAATAAATAAATAGACAAACAGAAAAATATGTGAGTAAATAATCAAATAAATAAACAAATTTTATTTTTGGGGTGTGGGTCGACTAAGAGAAGAGAAGTAACAACGTCGCCCCCAAACCTACATGAACATCCACACTCACACCCTTCTAACTAAAGGTATTTGCCAATTTTGTAAATAAATATCACATAATAATCTAGTTAGTTGTGAATTTAATGGACTTCCTTTCGGATATCGATAGATTTTTCCATTATAAGTAGAGATAATATTACGTAAAACTAATGCGGTTAATTCTTGGATAGCATCAGTTGTTAATCTTTGAATACAACCATTTGCAGTTTGATGAACTGAAAATTGATTTAATGCTATAAGAATATCAATATGTGATACTCTAGTATATAAATTAGGAATTTTAAATGTAACAAAATTTGTTCTTGGTACAAGAGAGTCTTTTTGTAGACAATAATGTTGAAGTTTTCTTATAAAATCAGCAGCTTTCAAAAATGTAGTTGATTGAGAAAATTTTTCAAATAATGGTCGCAGAAGTTGATTCAGAAAAGTTGCTAATGTTTGTATTGGAGAATTTTTACATGATGAAAGTCATGGTTGAAGTGTTATATGACGATCGTAATGTGTTTCTGTTAAAAAATAAAGATATGGTAAATTGATGTTAGTTTTTCTACCAATTTGCAATCTAGTTAAGTAATCCATAGGAATCAATTTCTTTCATTCTAATTCATGTAAAGTTAAATCAATAGATTTAATAGTTTTAGTTAATTGTTGTTGTTTCGAATCAAATTCATCAATAATACCAATCATTTCAAAACAATTTGCATTTTCCATATAATTATTAGCCATAGCATTAAATTCATCAAGACAACCAAAATAATATATATTATTTTGATCGGCTGTACGTCGTAGAATAAGACGATCACGTTTTAATTGATAATGAATCGAGTGAATTATTTGCTTCTCATAAAGTGCACCCTAATCGAACATCTTGTTAGCAAGATCTTGACCAAGATACAAGGTACAGAAATGTGAACAGATCTAGAAGGTCTTGACTGAAATACGTGTGGTGCCAAAATGATCCATGAAATTTGAATAAGGATGCCTCTAAAGACCTCTGAAATAGCCTTTCCCATGTAAAATTTGATGCCGAATCTGAATATGAAGTCAGATTTGCTCTTCAGATACAAGGATCGAAGTTAGAGACTTATGTTTTATTAAAAAAATTGTCAAAGCCATCGCTCTCATAAACATCCTTCAATGAAGATCATGTTTTCTTGAACTACTCAGCACGATCTAGTTCCTACCAGCGGCAAATTAATCTTTAGTAGCTATTACTAAGTCAAGATCTGTTAGCCGCACCCACACCCACACCCTAACACCTAACAATTTGAAATTCATAAAATATCAAGATTATTCCCAAATATGGACTGAAATGGAACAGTGAAAATTGACGAAGTCTATTCATTGATATATATATATATATGTATGCTGAATCTTTGTTCATTTGACAAAAATACAATCTTTCATCGATTAGTCCAAGTTCTGTTCATAATTCGAAAAAGTTTTTGACTACAACTCAAAAACAAATATAGAGAGTGTGGGTGTGGGTGGGTGTGGGTGTGACTGGATGTGAGTTCAAATATTTAGATACAATCACACTCACGCTCCAAACCCACACCCACACCCACACCCACACCCACCCTTGTCAGATAAGGTCAAATACCTCGGAGAGAGAAGTTGAATATACAGTTTTGTTGAGAATTGTTTTTCTGCATCGACTGGTATAGACGAGAAAGTTTGACTTGTCGCCGTCCCGCAATATATTTGTTATTTCGACTTTCTGCCATCCTTTCGTCTTGTCAAAGTACTTCGACTAATCAAGTGAGAGAATGATGAAAATCCATGTTCGAGCAATCCTTGTAGCCATCATCAAGAATGTCATCAAATTCTCAATCAATATTCGATTTATGTCTGTCTTTGCTCGACTAAGATTTCATTGCTGATCAATGTAACGTCAATCAATGAATCCACGCAATCGAGCGAGAAAAATTGTCGCGTAGATGTTCACACATTATTGGCACTGAACGTAGGTATTTGCCCGTTCAGCTGATAATGTGTATGTGTTGTGATTGTTATTTATTTCGATTAGAAATTTTTCCATTCAAATACCATCATCTTTGCATCAAGTATCATCGTTTATTCTGCTATTTTCGACAATGACTACTTGTGCATCTGCAATCACAATCATTCTCACATGTCGAATGTTTCGGTTGTGATCATTCTCTTGATCAATGCTGTTATTCGTTTACTGACACCCAATGTTTGAGAGAAGAACGATCGAGAACACAGGATTCCATGTATCTTTGTTCACCACGTCATTGTGGCAACTTGTGCTAATTCTGTATTCATCGGTCGAAACAGCTGTTAACACTGAAGATAAAACAAAGACAAGTGTCAATCTCTAGCTTTCACACTGAGAAAATGTAGGTGTTGATTGAGAAATAAATCTCATATTTGTGTATTTCCAACTAAATATCGATATGCGTATTATGAACGAATCACCGAAATAGCTCACGATGCTCCGTCAAAGTATTTTTGCCTAGAAAAAAAACAGAGCATCGTGGCTCAGCAAAAAAGCTTGGAAAATCTAAAGCAGTATGCAATCCGGAAAGAATCGATAGAAAAGGTGAAAGTTCGATCATTAAGAGAATCATTCAGTCTATCATTCAGTTTGCAGATGCAAAAAACGAAAAATAAGGATGGCTAAAATCCTAAATTCATGCAGTAATGCTAGGCTCGACGAATGTGAGTGTGTCGACTTCCGCTTGACTCGTCTTCGCTATTTGTACTATGGCATTGATGGTTTTGTTTGTTGGTGTATGTATTGTTCTGATACTTGCAATGACTGTTCCTTGATCATTCACGAACACATCGCTCACTTGTACTCTGCTCAATCCAAAACGAACTCCTCCATAGTTAATATAGATAGCTCGAGACATATCGCATTCAACATTTTGACATGCCACAAACATGTACACAGGAACATTCGATGGATATATAGAACCCGTTAGATGGAATACTGGTAAGTCGGTAAGTGGATCGATGACAACTTGGACACGTACAATGGGAGATCGCGTTGGTGACGATCGATTGGCAATAGTGAGTTGAGATTGAATCGATTCAGTGCAATCAGGATCAAGACAGCGAATATAGGTAATATCTAGAGAAATGCTTGAACAAAAATACAAAAACGAAAGCAAAATAAAAATTATCTAACCGGATTGTGGCGTTTGTCCAGTAGTCGTGATTGTAAAGCGAAACTGTGAATCCACGGCTAGATAAACGAAGTAGACCCAGTCGCGGTTAATATTGAACTGAGTCACCGATGTTTGATTACACGTTGCGGTCAGACAATGAATCAGATTGAGTTCTGATCCGCACAAAGTGAGCCACGATGGTTGTCCAAAGCGATTAAGAGCTACATCCACACTTGTACCCTCGCAATAGGCCTTGCCCGTGAGATTGAATGGAAGTGATGCACGTAAACGTGGTAATTGACATAGAGGATCTTGACAAGCTTCGATCATGTAGCCCGTCACGCGGTTGTCACGCGAGGCATATCGAGCTTCGGGAATGAGCATGATCGGCAATCCGAGCGGATGAGTAAATGTTAATCGTAGACCAGCTTGTCCGAATCCAGGACTATTAACCGTATTCATGATCTGAGGTTTTGAACAGGTCGGATCATCAGTTTGACAAACGATGAGTTCGGTATCCCGGTTAGGTGTGGCATAGCCAGTTGATAAGAAGAACTGGGCATCAGAAACTGTCGGTGATCGTTGTTGAATGCGACGTGGTGAGATACCACCGTAAGCTAGCTCTGCTGCACGCAAACCAGGCATGGGTACCATTGATATTCGACTGCAATTGCACGTCGTACACGTAAATACTGTTGATGCACCATTGAAAGAATATTGAAAGACAGATGGAAGGAAACTGATGGGTGTCAAACTCGCCGAAAAATCAGGGTAGAGCGAAAGAGGTTCAGTGATCCAAGCCGTGGCTGAAATGATCCTGTAACTGGAGGAAGAACCCGAAGAGAGCTTGAAAATCGCGACGAAAATCAAAATGAGTATCATGTTGTTCTTATTAACGATTAAAATGGTATCACTATGTGTTCGATGACTATCAATACTATATGTCGTTCGTTGAGAATATACTGCAGCTGTATTAACTATGCATGCAGCATTTGATAAGTGCTAGTAGGATCGATGTTTCGTAAAGAAAACGAACTCTGACACTATTGCGTCGAAAAGGATGCTCGTTTTATGAGAGTGAATGCCGCTGACAAATTACATATAACATTCAATTTGCTCCCATTCACGGAAAAATTCAGGAAAAAACCAGGATTTAATCTATGAGTTCGATCGACGGCATCTAACTTCAGCATGCAAATTTCTAGTATTCGGCGGCCGCATATGAAATGTCGTGCCAACTCGTTCGTTGCTCGTTTACTCAATTGTAGGTCCCGATGGTAATATCTCAGATCCAAAATATGTGGGTTTTGAAATGCTTCCATGAGTTAGAATCATTGCACTGTGCCAATTGGCACGATGTTTTTCGATCGTCAGAAATATCTGGGAATGGGTATGGAGTGTGAGTGTGAGTGTGGGTGTAGACTGTCTTTTCACCCGCACCCACACCCAAAATCCGCAACTAGGTTTCTTCTAGTATTCCTGAGGAGGATCATGACAATCAGACTAAAGATATCGTAAAAATGCAGTACTTGTACAGCAATAATCTATAGACCTGAATTTTTTCTAGAATACTCATATTTCACTAGGATGTACATGATGTAAATAGTTCCCACTCAAAATTGACGGAGTAGTTGGTGGTCTTCTCTCGTTAGTCTATGGTTTTGTAAGACAATCTTCAACAGTTTGATGCAGAACTGAATATATTTTTCTCACCAGAAAGTAACTGAAAATTTAGCTATCTTCGGTGGCAGCCTCTAACGCAAATTCTAAGTCGCACCTACGTTGATGTTGGATAGCAGCACAAACAATGCGTGTACAAATAAAACACAGTCATTTTTCATTCTTCGACCGCTCAGGCAGGCAGAGACGAAAAAGACGATGCTTCTACGCGTGCAAACCGTATATTTTAATGCATTAAAATAATGTTTGTTTTTGAGAGACAAACAAGTTTGAAAGGATTAACTCTCATCAACTCACTTTTTTCTCGCGAAATGACATCTATTTACGTTAAAATGTGCGCTTTTTACGTTTCAAAATATCGACTTTTTCTGTAAAAGTGTTAGCTTCTACTATTTTTTTGTAACCCTACGCTCTTATTAACAAAAGCACACAAATTAAACTAAAAATTCAGAATCATAGAAATCGTTTTTTTTCTCTGTCAATAAAGCAGTTTCATTAACTAATATTATTCTGAATGGCTAATTTCTTACAAAATATTAGAAAGTTTGGTAGTATTGCAACGTCAGGTAGGTTAAGAAACCGTGCTTAAAAATGTTTTGATACATAACTTGTCACTAAACCGCATCTTACAAATTTNACGCACGCTAACACACCCACCCACACCCACCCACACCCACCCGCATCCCCCCACCCACACTCACCCATACCCACACCCACCCCCCACACCCACACCCACACCCCACACCCACCCAACACCCACATCAGGCTGGTTAAGTCTTCTGATTTTTCAGAAAGTTTCTGATTTTGAACACTTTTTCTGATGGCTTTCTGATTTCTGATTTTCCTGACTTTCATTTCTGCTGTTTCAAACGTGCTAGTTCGTTCTTATATGAATGCCCGAATTATTACTATTGATAGAACATAACCACATAACATTTATCTACATAAAACGATAATACAGTTCAACAAATGGACTGATTTCAGCGAATAAAAGATCAAAGAACGTAAATAGTCAAATGAGTCCTCTTCACTCTGATTTATCGCTTGATTTGTCATTCTGAGCTGAAACATACATCGATGAACTATTGTTGTCTTTATTTACTTCGGATTAACGAGATCGTACTACATGACAATTGTAACAACAAGTGTTGTGCTATCTTCCAATTCTAACTGTCCCTTTATTTCGTCAATGTTCACTCCTTTTATACATCGGTCACGAGAGAGAGAAAAATATACAACGTTGACGAAAGAGTTGACTAATAGAAAATGAATAGAGAATGAGGCAACATCGTTATATACAGGTGCACAAGGGTGGGGTGTGGGTGTGGGTGTGGGTGTGTGTGGGTGGGTGGGTGTGTGTGGATGTGCGTTTCTGTTCATCAACCCTCACACCCAAACACACTCCACACCGACCCACGCACACACCCACACCCACACCCACACTCCACACCCACACCCACCCTGGATATCAATAATACTGATATCGACTTTACGCCTGAAGATAATAGTAGAGACTCAGTTCCGAACTTACTGCATTTACGTTGGACCATATGAGAAAAGTTGTAGATTTTGCTCGGCCGGGCATCGCATTTACAACAGTACAGCATGAATTTCCACGTGTAAAATATCCAATGCAATTAGCACGATTTCAAGAATATGTGCAAAACGATGGAAATCGTCGACAAAAGCTATCTCGCCTTGAATTGTCTGTTCTTGAAAAGTTTAAACAAGCACGCGATGCAAATTTGCCGGTTCACGATACAGACATCCGACGATGGTCATTAACTCAAGTTGCAGTGGAAGGTATCGATAATTTCCTGGCTAGCGATAACAGGTTGTCGAATTTTCAACGACGAAATAACATTCGCTCCAGGAAAGTAGCAAATTCGTTGCAAAACATGAGGTTTTTCATAAACAAGAAATTCATCAAGCCGGCGAAGAGTGCGTTAGTGAAGTTAAAAAGATCTTACCGAAGTACAAGCTTGAATATATTTTTAATATTGATCAATCAGGTTTTCATTACGAATTTACATCAAATCGTACTTTATCTTTTCGAAATGAAAGATCAACGTTTGTCACCGTTAAATCACTCAACGCCATCACACATTCGTATACTGTAATGCCACTTGTCAATGCTGCTGGTCGACTCGTTGGTCCTGTTTTCATCTGCTTGCAAGAACCTACAGGTCGTTTTCCGGTAACAAAAGATGTGTTGTCAACTTCGAACGTGATCGTCACCTGTAGTATATCTGGTAAATTAAATAAATTGTTGGTGGAGTATTGGATATATGAAGTCCTCGACGATGTCACGAACAACCTGTTTCTTCTTTTAGTCGATCAATGGTCCATTCAAACCGAGAATTCTATTTATGAAGATAATTTACCAAAAGGACAATCTTGTAAATTGATGGTGATACCACGAAAGGTTACATCAACAAAACAAACTTGCGATCGATATTTCTTTCGTCAATGGAAAAGTTTAGTACGAAGAATCTATCGCCATGTATTGATAGATGATCTCAATATTGACTTGAGGGCTTCAGATTCCATTATCAAGATGCAGTCACTCGTTCACAACCAACTTTCTGCTGATATTTTTCTACCAATGATTTCCTATTCATGGTCAGCTTGTGGATATTTTCTGCCAAAATATCTGTCGTTTTCGAATATAAGTGAAGTTTGCTTCAGCTTCAAGGTAGACCAATGTTCTACTAGTAACTGTAACGGTTATCCATTTATTTCTTCTAGTCATTGTCGACACATCCTTTGTTTTGAACATTTTTTCAATAGTTATCATATCCATTAATAAAAAGAACTACTTCTCATGCGTTTTTCACAATGAACAAATCTGATATATTCTTGCATAGTATGTGCGATAGAGTTAATATGATCAGACAAATTCTATAAAAAAAAGACCTATCGGGAAAAACGTTTATTACTACAGTGATTAGCTCGTCGAGCTCTATCGAATAGTATAACTCCCGCCCGAATCGACGATTAACACTTGGGATAGTTCCCTCGTTAGACGAAAAAGTACCTGAAATAAGATTGAATCGAAAAAGGTAGGCTCTAAGGGTTAATAAATCATATTACAATGTTGACGGCGACTAAAAACTCATAGAAGGAAACATTTGCTGAATTCTCAGATTTTGAAGAAAGGACAAGTGGCGGTAAGGCCATTTTCTCGCCCAAAACTTTTCTCAAAAAAAATTATATATTCGGAATCAGCATTAAATTCTGAGTAAAATGAGGTGCTTTTTGCTGTCGAAAAACGACTTCCATTTTTCACGGTTCATTGGGCACCTGCAGGGGACCTCAGGACCATCGAAAATTTTTTTTTCAGAATTTTGGTGAATTTAACATCATCTGATGCGAAATTTAATGCTGATTTCGAATTTCAAATTGAAATTTTAAAAAAATAGAGTTTTCGTAGAAAAAAATNCAAAAAAGATTTTGCAAATCGTGTTGAATGATGAGTTCAATTTCGATGTGAAATCAACTACAGTTAGTCATCTTGATTGATAAGAACAAAACTCAAGAAATCTTGTTTATTCGTATAAAAGAACAAGTCGATCTCGTCAATGTTCGACTTTTGCTTTGAAAGCACGAAAAAAAAAGAATCAAGTGATTCTGAATTTTCAAATAGGCTGACCTGATAAACAAAAAACTTTCAAAAATTGGTTCTACTTTAATCCACTTTTATCATAATGAAATCTTTGTTTTTTTCGTTTAGAATATTCACATGACGAACATTTTGAGATGATATCAGAACAGGGTATTGAATAGAAATTAAGAGGAACACAATGGGTTTTTTTTTCAAAAGTGAACGAAAAGAAAACAACGATCGATGAATCTATCATTGATGTTTGAAAGTGCATTTCTCAATTTGTTTCTGTGAGAGATAAGTTCAATTATCTCTACTTCAAAGACATTACACAAGTCAATGTCTTCTAAACGACGTTCCTTCCATCTTCTATTCCAATGCACAACAAAGATCTTTGAGTTCTTCGAACTCTCTCTCTCCACCTGTATAGTTATTGTTTTGATTGGCAACTTTTCAGAATCGTAAATCATTAAAAAGTTTTTCTTCATGATTTGTCTTACCTTCTTCTCTTATTTTTATCGTAAAGTGCAGTTATTTGATTAAACAATTGATGAATTTTTATGTAGTCAGTGACTATTTCCTATGATAAAGAAAATTTTTTTTTGTTGATCGAAAAATATTTTGTCTGAGCTACACAAATGTTGTATCTTTCACGATTGATGCATCATCAACATACTTGATTTTGAGAGTGAAGATGAAGACAATGTGTTAACTGTCAAATGAAGTATAATTGACATGGAGTCGAGTTCCAAGATTCTTGCCTAATTGTCGAATATTTGTATGATTCTTTTAAATTGCTAACTGGGACACGATTCAGAAATGTCGATGATTGTTTTCACATGTATTTAGAATAGTTAGAGAACTAGAAAAATTGCAAGATTATCTGAAGTGTTTTGAATTCCTCTCAAACTGATATCAACAAAAACATAACTTGAGAGTAGGTATTCATCGAGAAGAAATGATCGTTTGATCTTGAACGATGAACTGATCCACATATGAGGAATAATATTATTGAGTCAAAATTTGCGATAGTTGAATAAAAAATGTCAAATTTTCTTTCCTTCAAAAATAGCAATAAGTCAAAGAAAAAGAAAACAAAGAGAAAATGATTGAAGAAACTATCTCTGAATGATAATTGAAAAAAAGTTGAACTTCGATTCTCATCACGTCCGACTGATATTCTATGAAAAGTAAAGAAAGGCATCATGTTAAAACTTTATCGCGATCTTTTCTCTATTCGAATGAGTCATTAATCTTGATTTTTTCGAAAATATACAATTGTGTCAAGTATTTCAAAACTTTTGTCGTATCTCTCAAGTTCTAAATGATTAGAGAAAATTGACAACAATTTGCCAACTATTCCTTCATATTTCGAATATTCATCTGACCTATTTAATCAAGATCATACTTCATGAAATTTCATCAACAATTTTTTGAAGTGTCGATCGTTTATTCTTAAATACAAATATTTTATTTCATCATTGAAATCATATTAATAGTTCTTATTTTGAATTTTCTTCCTACTTAGAGAATACATCCTATTCCGCGATGTTGAACATTACGGAATCAGTTCCGCATCCGGAATCAAATCCTATCGATTCCGAGAACTCGATCAGCATGCTACAGCACAGGCCTAATCAACATTGATCGAGTTCCGGCTATTTTCTGAATTCCGGGAATTCGATTGAAACGGAATTAATTGGAATTCCGGAAACTGCTTCCAATTTCGAAATTGGTGGGAATTCCCAGAAATTTCTTCCCATTCTGGAATTCCAGGAACTGCTTCCAATTTCGGAATTACTTCTCGCCCTCACGCTCACGAATACTGTTGTGGTTGAAGATTAATCTCGGAAATAATTAAATAATTCCGGAACGGAATTCCGGGAATTGAGTGGAGACGGAATTGCTCGGAATTCTCAGGAATTCCTAGGAATACCTTCCGATTCCGAAATGCCGGGAACTGTTTCCAATTCCGGAATCGCTGGGAATTCCCAGGAATTTCTTCCGATTCCGAAATTGCTCTGAATTGCTTAAAATATGGGTAATTCCGTCTGGGATTAGTTCCCGGAATTCCTGGAATTGACGGAACTCGATCATTGTCCAGTAGGTCTCTTATGATGAATGATGATAGAGTTCCCGGAATTGGATGGAACTGATTCCGGGGCCGGAACTGATTGCGCAATGTTCAACATTGCGGAATAGGATGACTGCTCTCTAGTTAAGTGTTGATGATATTCAGGTGATTGTCTATATTTGAAAAATAATTGCAGAGAAAAATTCTATTACATCTATTTGATAATAACATCATTCAGAAAGTATTTAGAGTAACAGCACTGAGACATTATATCAATATGATCATTGAGGAAAACTATTCTTTCTCTCTCTTTCTTGATCAATATTCTTGACTTCAAATTTTGATTGTCATAACATACATCAATACATGGTCAATGGACGATATTGTGTTTGTGTTTTAGAACCATTTATACGCAACGCAAATCTGAATACGAATGTAAAATGGACACAAAATGGTATCACTGTGGCTGGAGGAAATGGACAAGGTAGTGGAATAAATCAGCTTTATGGTGCACGGGGTTTGTTTGTTGATGATGATAAAGCTATCTACATTTCTGACTATTCGAATCATCGCATTGTGGAATGGAAATGTGGTGCAACAATTGGTCGAGTTGTGGCCGGTGGAAAGGGAAATGGAAACGGTCTTGATCAATTGAGTTATCCTACAGATGTGATTATTGATAAAGAAAGAGATAGCCTCATCATTTGTGATCTTGGTAATAGCAGAGTAGTACAATGGCCTCGTCAAAATGGTAAGACTGGAGAAACGATTATCTCAAATGTTGAATGTCATGGTTTGACAATGGACGATGATGGATTGCTCTATGTTACTGATTGGAATAAACATGAAGTCAGACGATATCGAATAGGAGAAACTCGAGAAACAGTGGTTGCAGGTGGAAATGGACAAGGGAAACGTTTCGATCAGTTGAATGGACCAATGTGCGTATTCGTCGATCGAGATCATTCAGTTTACGTATCAGATTACAATAATCATCGTGTGATGAAATGGATGAAAGATGCGAAACAAGGCATTGTTGTGGCTGGTGGTCAAGGTCAAGGAAATAGTCTGACAAAATTATCGAAGCCTTGGGGAGTTGTCGTGGATCAGACAGGTACTATCTATGTGTCTGACTGTTCGAATCATCGAATAGTGTGTTGGTCACAAGGAGCTACACAAGGAAGAATCATTGTTGGTGGAAATGGTCAAGGAAACCAATCAAATCAGTTCTATGACCCCACCAATTTACATTTTGATGAAGAGGGCAATCTCTATGTGATTGATAATGGAAATCATCGAGTACAAAAGTTCAACATTGATTGAAGCTGATGATTTTTGAAAATTGACATTACTTCATTATTTTCATCATAGTCTCGTACAAGTAATCAAACAATAAAATCGTTTCAAATAGGATTATCTTGTATCAACTACTAATTAGTAAATGATCATATATCATATAGAAAACAATCTTTTTCTGTCAAGTTCTATCCAAGAATTCTGTTCTGAACATTCTCACATTATCCTCATGTTCCCATTTGTCATCATGTTAAAAGATTTTTTTCTATCATTAGAGCACTGATGATTTCCCAAGTTCCTCAGAGAAAAAAAGACAAATGTCAAAGATAATTTGCATGTCGATTCATCAGAAAGTTAAAGACTAGATCTGCAGTGAACAATGATCTGGTTCTGGTCGGTAAATTAAGAAATTACTTTTATCTCCTGTCACATCAGAACAATAAATTGCATCGTGCCAAAGCATTAAAATTGTCAACGAAAGAGAACTATGTTATATTGAAATGTTGACTCTTTTAAGTAATAAGATTAAAAACAATGTGCTCGCTGTTGTTATTGTGGATGTGAAAAACAATGATGCATTCTAATGTAATGTTGAATAATCGTGAAAAAAGTGAGAAAATGCTACTTTATCACCAAAACGAATGTCAGATCACATGCCTTTAACCTTTTCACTTGACATTTGGAAGAAGATAGTATGAATACGAAGTATAACAACTCTTTAAAGATCTGATTGCATTACTAAGATAGATGTTGAATATTTGAGCAGTAGCAACATCTTACTTGATCATCGTTCCCTTTGTAGGTATTCTCTCGAATATGATAATCAATGATGGTCCGATGCATAACTTCTCAAAAGAGATACTTTTTCAAATAACATATAGCTGCTGAACGATTCATTTAAACACTATCATAGCTTTTGAAATGGATTAAATAGCTAATAAAATACAGGAAAATAGTTATTCAAAGATTTAAATAGCTGCACCCTTTGCGACAATATTTGGTTCATTGATTTTCATCGTGTTATAAGTTATTCAAATCTAGCGTTATATTGAAGAATTATTGTAGCTATTCTAAAGGTTTGATAACTATTCGGCCAAAAAATATACAGGTTACATAGCCATTCACATAGAAATATGAAAAATGAAGAAATAATTAAATATACATAAAAATTGTATTTCTTGGAAAAAAAGCCGCCGATATTGTTCATCTGTTGGAGTGTGTTATAATCAAATATTACATTTAGTAACGTCGGCTAGTGTGTTCTAGCGACCGTGTAAACGAGAGGCATATTTAGGTAAAATATGCAACATTCTTGCTTTGCCCAGTCTATCTCCGAATTTTGATTTGATATCGGGAAGCTTCAAAACGATTCATGGATAGTAATACTTTTCAATAGTTTACATTTTTAAATCAAATTATTTTTACTTGGAATTTAGTCAACACACTGTAATATGTTTTTTTTTTCTTCATTGATACTAATGCTACGCTACATCTAGTTAAATATAAATAAACACCCCAATGAACGATAAGAACCAGCGAAGCGTAACTGCATAGTAATGATCACGTGTTGCGTGCATAATTAAGTGCAACTTATATTTCACATATTGTGCAAGTGTTTTTGACGATTGTAGCCCTTAATATAGCATTTTCTTTTTATCAACGTCATCAAAATGTTGTTAACAGCAATATTAATGGTATTGGTAATAATTATATTGGCATATTTATATAACCTTCGTAGACAATGGCTCAATAAATACAAACAAAGTTTGTCTTGTCTCGATGGTGAACAAATCTATCGTCATTTATGTTGCAATGAATTTCCCTTTGAATGCTTCTATGGTATCAATCTGGCATTCTATAGAACATTTGTATCACCCACCATTTCGACTGTTTACTCACAAACGAATACAATTGCCAGCGAAACAGAAAAACGTGTCAATGATACTGATATCATAATGCATGCTTGGATCGACTATGGTCTTAATAGTGATGAAGGACGAGCAAGTATGAAACATTTGAATAATATTCATGGTGCATTTAGCAATCGTACATTGAACAAAGATTTCGTTTTTATCCTTTGTTGTTTCACTGTTGATACAATACAAATAATTGATGTCTTTGGCTGGCGACATTTGGATGATAGAGAGAGACGAGCAATCTTTGATTTCTATGAACAAGTTGGTCAACGAATGAATTTGAAAGATCGACCAACATCACTAGAAGAAGCAAACATAATTATTAATAATTATATTGATAGTGACACATCTTCAAGATATACATCACAAGGCCAGGTATTGACAAATGCTATTCATACACTGGTCCAAAAATGGTATGGTCGACTTTTGCCAGCTTCGTTGATTCGAGTTCTCTTGAACGCCATTATTTATGTTGTTGGCGGTGCAACATTTCACCAGAAACTTGGCTTACCAGAACCATCACGCTTATTATTATATGCTGTATACATACTAGCAACTATTCGATGTTGTATTATGCAATTTGTACCACCACGCAAAGGTATTCATCATCTATCAGATAATCTTATGAAGAAAGACTATAGGTGTCCCGTATCAAAAATAAATTTCTTACAAGTTGGACCACCTAAATTATTGCAACGATTGTGAAAAATACGCTGTGCTAGAACAACTGAGATTCACTAATTTCGCAGGTTATTTCGTTAGAAAGAGAAATATTTTCTGGCTGTTTGTAAAAAAAGATAAACTAACATGAAGCAAAGCGTTTTTAGAATAATCAACTAACATATTCATTCATTTATCTTGTTATATATTCAAGCCTGTTTGTGAATTTGATCATGTTTATTCAACTCTAATACATCTGTATGTACAAGATTTAATTAAGCAATGACTTCCGAAATTAATTATTAAAGAACTCGAAATTTAGATAAGTCTTGTTAACTTTGTGGTGCATGATTCTACTCTACATTTCAGTTGTTTATATGTTGTATGAATAGCAAATCTAGTTATGTTTAAGTTTTACTCGAACGCATATCTGATTGTCGAATGCCACCATGTTGTCATGTACGGAATCTCATTTTACTTTGAAATCTCTTTGCCAGCTTTTCATATTTATTTTGAGCATATTTGTTCCATATTTGTTGTTTTCGTTGTCATCGACAATATTGCTTTTTTGGAAGATTATTTTGAAAAGACTCACATATATTCCTTATCATGAAAAATATTAGATGCTGTACGTTGAATTCGAATCACTTTGTCTGAGCAGTCCGTCGAATACCTTTTTGATACGTCTATCTATCATATTAGTATTGATAGTGATGAAAAAAATCTGCAACGAATTTTTAATCAAACTCTGTGTCAATATATGAAGATGACCATAGTCTTCAGAAATAGCCATGCTAAGACTTGTTCAAATGACAAATTTCAACGACATCATATACCTTGAGAAAGCTTATTTATATGGAAAAAATCCAGATGACTGCAAAACACACGTAACAGTTAAAGTCAAACAAATTCAGTAAGGATGTAATACATATGGATCCAATCACTGTTGGAATAGCAAGCGTGGCATGGAATCCAATCATTGAATAAACGAGAATAGCAACCACAAGTTGGTCATACTATCATAGAGTCAATGCTTATCCTCAAAAGAGCATGTTCATTCAGTTCGAATATCGTTGATATCATTGGCATTGAGCAAGCCATCGGTAGCCAAAGAGTCAAAACGCAGTTTAATGAGAATTAACTATTCGATCGATTTGTTCTCCCGTATTGTTATTTTCATTGAATAGATAACTAGCTTCAAATAAGATGATTAGTGGACGGATGTGAATATTAGTGAATAGATGGAAAGTTCGAATCGAGCCGGCATACCGATGCTGATATCACCGCTATGTTGGTATGATAATTCGATAGAGATCAGTAAATTATCGGTATAGTTTTGAATTTTTTCCATTTTCCTAATGTTTTAAGGAATATGATAGATAAACACCACGAAAACGATGATATGAAAGTAATCCAAGCGCAACTGAAATCAACTCGCTGATATAAAAATAGCATGACTTCGAATTCAGTCGATAGCTTTTAATATACTTTTTACAATTATGCTTTTTTTCTTTGTTCGCTAGATATTTTAGGTTACTCGCTTTTATTACTTATCTTATTATAGTACATTCCATTACTTACGGCGACATAGTATTTTTTTAGTTTTGGATTGCATTTCTTTCGTTTCGTGAAGCTAGATTTGTACATTTAAAGTTGGATCCCTCATTTTTTATTTATTTATCCAAATCCGCAAATGGACATACAAATCACTTGGTCAGACCTTTACGCAAACTTGTATTCGTAGAACTCCGTTATAAACTGATCGAGATGAGATTGCGTACCTGCAACTTGAGACTGTGATTGTGAGTGCCAGTTTCAATGTAAATCAGACACAATTACAGGCATACCAAGATTCCACAACCACACCCATCCTACTTAAAAAGTATCTGTTTGGACAAGCTACACTACGGAAGGTTTATTTTTTACTGTCAGATTTCGAATTCGATTTGGAATCAAATTGTGCAACTAAGAAATTGAACAATGAAGGTTTTGAGGTTGTTCCGAATTAATAAAAGCGCAATGGAATGAGCCAATTAGAAAAAGGACTTTTCTCGATGTTTCCGCATTCTTTTGTCTCATAGGTTTTCCTTCTAAAACTCTAAAACGTGCATCAGAAGACGCAAAATTACAAGGAAGATTTAGCGACATGTTAGAAATCGGAGCTAAACTGTTATTGAAAATTTTGCATACCATTTTTTGTTTTTCGACGATCGTAGTTATATAGTTGACCATGGCTTCGTTTTCTTTAAGGTTTTACAGTGACCAGAAAAACAATTCCATAGCTTTATAGAGCATCAACATTTTCTATCTACTGGCACATAAGAAAATCCTTTTATGAGTAGAAATTGAAGGAAAAATGAGGTAAGGTCTGAATTACAATGGCGCACTATTATTCAATAGTTATAGCAGAGTTCTACTGCAATGAGAACGTGTCTTTTTCGGTTTTGTTTTTTATTTTTTTTAATTGTAAGTTGCATTAATATTCAACTAGAGGAGACGTCATAAGTCTTTTTGGATATTTAATTTGAAATTCGAAAATAATCTATCAAACGATTGTTTGTTTGTTGAATCAATTTGTAGTGTAAAAGAGCATTATCTGTAAGTAAAAATTTTTATTGAAATAGAATACATTCTTCAATTAAGTTGTCCTTAACAAAATGTAACGTCTATTATAAGCCTTCATAGGTCGCTTGTAAACATTTGATAGTATCAATAAATTTTAAAAAAAATCTCTGCTTATTTCAATAAAATAGAAATGAAATCGATTCGAAATGCTACACTTTAATACAACGTCTTTTATTTATCTGATCAAAAATATAATTCATGAATATTATAATTAAAAAAACATTATCAATGAACACTATCAGCAATAGCTTGTATTTCGTTCATTGTAGCGATTGATCAGGAAAAAACAGAACTTTACATGGATTAAATGGTGTTTGCTTCAAAGAGTGATAGGATACAAAATGCGTGCAGGGATGAAATCATTCCAAGAATAAGAGAAAGTCTTGTTTTATTTTGATTGAACAAGAATAAATATCGAAAATCAAGCCGTTACTGACTTTGATGACTGTATTTATTTGTGTCGTTTCAAATAAAAAAGAAGATATGCATCTCTGGAAACAATTTCTTCATTATAATAAACAGTTGATACATAGGAATCATTGAATCTGTACCATTTCTCGCTTTTTGGATCTTTTCGTGCATATGCAGTATAATGGCCCCCATAAATAGATCCCATATGATTACAAACAGCAATAAGATCATAAATGGCTTCCTCCGATGATTTCAGAAGTTTACCCAAATCAAATCCATTAACCTGATAATCAACAAATATGTCTAATTTTTGACGCAGACCATTTTCATGTGAAAATCGTTTAAGTTGTATAATGAGTACATGTGGAAATGTCAAAAGTCGAAGTTCTTTACTTGCCTTTGTATCTCGTTTACACTTATCTTGTTCACAAAACCACGGATCATCAAGTATTTCGACTGAAACAAATGCTTGAAGACATTCGTCAAGTTTCAGAGTGATTGGCTTATTCTCATATCGAAAAGATGCCATTCGACCATTGTAATGGTCTTGCTCGATAAGTGTTACTACTGGTTCGGATAATTTGATGAGAGGTGTATCAAAGTCAACTGCTGCTTCTGGATTTGTAGTCATCACAGTAACATAACTAAATTTTCTTGAATCATGGCGACGCTCAAAAAATTTTTGTACAAGATGTTCAATACGATCACCAACAGACATAGACACTATATCATACACATCTTCACGGTTCGATCTGACAAAATTCACTTGATATGTTCGTTCATGTGGATTAAGTGGTAATGGAAGAATACTAATTGGATTTTTTGTAGTGCTTACATGTTGACATCGAGAACAAGTAATAGAAGATTGAATTTGACTGAAGAAGAGTTCTGTGATAATTGTATTTTGAACGTGGTTGTTTTTTTGTTTAATCTCTTGATGAATAGTATCGAGAAGGAATGCCATAAATTCTTGAGCATCTTGTTGATCATATGTTGCAAAACGTGGTTCAAGTCTACCGATTGTTTCTTTCATACGACTTGGTCTAAGCGAATAATCATAATACGAATAAGATTTTCGATCAGGCTTGTGTAAATTCCACAGTAGTTCGGCATAGGCTCCAGTAACTTCCCCATATGTGTCAAATGGATTGTAATTATTAGCATGGCCATCAGTTGAATGTGCTTGAGTAAGGTTTTTCATAAAAAATTCAGTTAGTGGCGCGACATGTACAAGGCATTGAAGTGCACTGTTCATAAAACATGTATTACCAAGATTATCCAAACCTTTAGGCTGCGCATTCAAATCAAAAGTATTTGTTGTTGTATAAGTCTTGTCGGTTTTGCTGCTTTTAATCGAGCAATTCGTAGGAACAATATCTGTGACATAAGCACTAATTGTACTGCCAGGTTGAATGCCAAAATCAGCCAAACGTTTATCAGGTTGATTGTCATCAATAGTAGTATTATCTGACAATAGTAAAAACTGAGCCATTGTCTGATTTTCTCGAAGAGCTGTAATTTTTGCTGTCAGTTCCGCAACCGTATCTGTTACTGATGCTCGAATAGTTTTAAGTTGGTTGTCTGAAAATTGACAACGAACCAAGACTGTGTTTGGATTATTGGCCGATGACAATGATAATTGCAATTCATCAGTTCGTTTCATTGGAAGACTCTCTTCGACATGAGCATATATGGTCTGCCCTGGCTGGATACCCAATTGTCTTAATGTTCGAGTACGATCACTCGCATCTATTATATTATGCTTGTTATCAAGGAAAGCGACACACGAAAAACGTTTGTATTTGTTTTTAATTCGAGCTTCTAAATAACTAATGGTGTCCGTAGATGATGCCAACAATATATCACCTTCATCAAAGTTACTTTTGACATAAACATATATATCTTCGTCATACGTGAAAGTGGACGTTGATTTGATAATATGGAGGAAGATGATCGAATAGTTTCGAAGACCTAATTCTGTCAATTTCTTTCCTAAGTTGTTTGGTTTATTTAGACCTTTGTCTAAATACGTGCTGAGCTGAATCCTTTCACGTTCGACTGAATACAAATTAAAAGTTTTTATGACAAAATCAACAAGAGCGTCAATTGTTGTTGAGGACTCGTCCCATTCAAAGTTTTCTCTTTTCGAACTGCTGAGTGAGCAAACTGTCAGTAGTGATAATTTCGGGCGTGGCGAAACGCCTAATCGTTTAAAATAGAGTACAGATTCACTTTCGAGTTTTAGTTCGTTCAATGTCATGTATTCATGCAAAGAGGATATTATGTATCGTTCACCGGCAAAGTAAATACCAGATAGCATGACTTCTTCAGGATTAATGTACCTGGATGGAAGGAGTCGTGATAATGTCTTTTTAATCTCGTGAATAGTAGTTTTTGATGAAAACTGAACAAAATTGTCAATTTCGATGGTTCCCACGTGATCAGTATAATTTAACTTGAGTAGTAGTGGTCGGTTTGCGTCGAAATTCGATGTTCGATAGTATCTACTATCATGATCTATTGAAAATAATCTTGGATTACCAGTCATCATAAAAAATAGTTGTGAAACGGTTAGATTAGAGTATTCAAGTAAAATTAGTCATCTAAAAAAAAAAAAGAAATGTGTCTATATATGTATATTTAAAAGACAAATGAATTATAAGAAATGGAATTTACTAAGATCTGTTCCTAAACTACTTTTGAAAATAGTAGATCTAATATACAATGACGTTTGGAATTTAACTGTAATCGCGACAAATGTTTTTGTACGCTATTCTAATTTAGAATTTGCATATATACAGCAAACGAAGAAGAATTAACATCGTAGTACAATTTACCCTTGGAAAGAAATTCGCAATAGAACGTACATACGAAAAAAAGTCTCGATCGTGTTTCTGCAGCACACAATTCACTTCCTTACTGTGTTTTTTTTTTCTTTTAAAAATAAACCTTCAAAAACACGTATGTTCGTTGACTACAACACATCGACTGTGAGTACGAGCATGTGACGGAGAAAAGAAAGAAGCTATCAGTTGATTTTGCCTGTTCTGTTCTCTACGTCATAGAAAGTTGCACAACTTGCAACACAATTTATCATGGTCACTGTGAGTCATTTCATCGAGTTACTAAAAAGNTCATCTTCGAACTCGACCGAGACATTGTTAAGACTGAACTGTGTAGAAAATTTCATCGCGATTGGACTCTCCTTTCAAAAGTTATCGTGTTAACGGCCGGACGGACGGCCGGACACACTGACCGATTCTAGAGTGTACTCACTTTTTGAGTACACAAAAACGTATGTGTTTATTGTTGAATTTAGTATCCATATTTTTTTATGTATGTCACTTCAAAAGAAAGCCACACACAAATTTAGTATGCTATTCAAAAGTATTAAGAAGCAAACAGTATCAACCGTGTAAAATCTAAAAAAGTCTGATCTTAAAAGTCTCTTTTTATTTAAAAAATGATTAACATATTATTATCTTAATAAGATTATTCAAATTTGTACCGTTTTTAATCACGATACGAATGAAAAAAATTTATTTGTAAATTGAAAATTTACTTGTTCTGCACCGATGACTATACGACAAATGGAGATATAAGACTAGATCAACTTTTATCATATATCATGCTTCAAGATACGATACTAATTAGCAATTCAATGTGTAAATTAAAATCTTACTAAATTAAACTATTACTTCATTTTCCTTCACAAAATAAAAAGTGACGACTTTCTATATTACAGAAATTTATATCACTTTTTTCAAAATTGGTCTTCTATTTTGGTCTGAGTTCCTGTCACCATATGTCTATAAGGTCAAGGATTATTGAAAAATTTTTTGAGATTCAGTTGTTCATGTAAAAACGAAGCAAATTAAAACAATTCCTTTTACTTAAACAAGTGTTCAATATGATAGTATCTAAATTTGATTTTGATTAGATTTTTCATCCGAAAATAATATATTTAATTCAATTGTGAACTTTTTCAACTGCATTATAAATGATTAATAAACTTTAATCAATTGAAATCGAACTCTCATAATTAGCTATAGTTGATTTATTTTCTATAGTCACTTAAGATAGAGTAAAAAATGACAAAAATCAAATGATATCTCTTCGTAAGAAAATATTTTTTTTTTTATAACCAATGTCACTCGATCAAACCGAATTGAACATTATATAATTTAATTAAAATAAAATTTGAATAACGCCACATCAATTGATTTTCAATCAGAAAAATTCGAATAGAATGATTATTTTATAGGCACAGGACACAATTTTGTTCTGTTCTATGATGGTCTTTGTTAAGAAATTAGAAATACTAGTAGGACAATTCCTACGCCATGTCATAATTTACGAGGTCAAAGTGATCGAATTTTCACAGTATATCTACTGTCAGTATTTGAAATTAAAAGACTTCGCACTGAATTTAATATATGTGATGCAATTGTTGATTCTCTAAAAATCCGCATCGAATCGAATAAATTCTAAAGAAAGATTTTTCCTCATGGGAGGCACCTCTATGGGACCACAGTCGATTTTTGTCAGAAGATACACTTCCTTAGAGTTTATTTGGTTTGATGTCGATCCATTCTGGTATATTCGAGTTTCAAAAACTACTAGTAGCAGCAGATATACTATCAAATATTGATCATTTTCAACAGATCAATTGTGACACCTCCTCTCACCTATATTGGACTAGAAAAACCCAATCAACAGATTAAAAAAATGAAATTTTCACTAGGTTCTCGATCCCCTTGTGAACACTCTCTCAAGATAATCTATGACGATATTTAAAGTAGTTAAACTACATGGATAGATAGTAATGATTAAAAAGGATTCGCTTTCCTATGAATATGAGGAAACTATTCGATGATTATTAGTTCTTTATATATTTTTTCTCTACCTATGGATTTTGTCGTAGTATTTTGATCAAAACATGCAGCAGCACATTGTTCCAATTTATGCAATGAAGATTTAACAGGTAATTTATCAATTTTAATTTGTAATGCATCATAATTACGAGAAGTATTCCATAATTCACATGATTTAAATTGAATTCGAAAGTTGAATAAAGGAGCATGTTCAGTATAAAATTTTTCTTCAGCATAAACTGAATATGTTTGCTCACCTCCACATGTTTGAACTGTTTTAACTTGACGATCACCTGGCTTTCTACATGGTATTCGACAAAGTTCATCTATCTGTCGATTATGATCCATAAGACCGCCACCTGAACATCGGCAAATGCTTTCTTGTATATAAATGATCGGTGTGTCACATAAAAGAAAACATAATGTTGGTTCCATAAATGAACTGATGAAATAATTATTATAAAATACTTGTTTATAACAACCAACGTAGTGATATGAACTATAAATTGAATTTACCATGGAAAATATGATCAAAAGACGTATCATTTTTGAGTTGAATATTATATACTAGAATAATATAAGTAAATGTTTGATGAAAAAAAAGAATTGGAAATGTTTCTAAGGTACAAAACAGCAAAGAAGAAATATGACATATGTAATAATTATTGGATATCGAAGAGCTAATAATAGTAATGAAAAGAAAAACAACGACCTTTTGCTTCATATTATTGGTATTTGATAGTAAAGGTCACGAAGAATATGTTTCTTGACAGAGAACTTTAACCCTAAAATATGTTTTTCTTTTTTCTATGTTAAATAAATAGGTAAAATCTTATAGATGACTATAGAAAAGTTAGTTTGTATTCCATTATTGCCAAATTATGCGGTGGAACATGATATAGCTGTTACTTGTAGCCTCAGCAAGGTGACTATTACGGTCTTTAGGATGAAGATGAATGGGTACAAGGTTTGCTCTATTTACTCCAACAATTATTTCCAATCGTATTTCACAAAAATCTTCTATTTGTCTAAGAAAAAATGAGTTTCTTTTGTTTCATGTAAAAATCCTTGATAGTAGAAGTGTTCGATTAGCTTTTTTCAATGCTTTTGTATTAGAGTTAAAAAGTTAGCTTGATACTTTTGCATTAGTGTTAAAACAATTTAATGCTTTAGTATTAGTGTTAGAAAAGTATTAACCTATCAGTAATGCTTATAGTTCCCACGAACAGAACAACATTGTTCTTTTTTTTGGGAAAAACATTCCCATAAGGGAACAATTTTGTTCTGTTCTTGGGAACTATAAGCATTACCGAAAGGTTAATACTTTTCTAATACTAAAACATTAACGTTTTCTTAACACTAATGCTAACCGGACACCCGTACTTGAAAGTATTTTTTTAATTATAAACATGATGAGACGATTTATATTGAGATGAAAATAACAACAAAATACAAGTGCTTGTTTTTTGTATAAAGAAACTTTGCATGCTGACAAGGAAAATCATCAGAGAATCTGGATGTAAATTGTTCCTATCAATCAAATACGCAATTATTTCTCCAAAAATGTATAGATTCATCGAGTTTTACTTACGAATCAAGGATGAGAAAGCTGTTAGATGTTGATATATGTGGTAAGAAGATCATCAACTACATGCACACATTTTATTTAGCGTCATGAAAAACTAAAACAAAATTATGTTAGATCTGATATACTATGTCGCACATATTATGCTAATTTTATTCAGCTTCATATCAGTCTGTATATGCCGCTTTATAAACACAACAAGTCTATATGTACATATCACATGTTCGAGGAGAGCTGGAATATGCGAATAGATAACATAAAATTATTGGGAAAGCACTTCATTTATCACGTACAAAAGGAAATACAGTAGTAGAACAAGCCAAGAGAACAAAATAGAGACATATATGATAGAATGAAAGAAAACAGAAATCTATAGTTTACAATATGTCTAAGTAGATATAAAGAACGAACACGTTTTATGACACGTTCTCTGTACGTGCTATAACAATTTATTTACCCAGATGTATATTTATAAAACCAATTAAATTCCAGGAAAGATATGATTCATAACAAAATCTTATTGGAATAATCAAATAAGCATATAGATACTAGAGTGAATGTATTCGTTTAGATCGGAGAAAGTCTCTAATTTCGACTGATTCTGCTAGTTGTTCATGTAGATATGCGTAAAGGTTGAGAGAATTTGTATATGCACCGACTTCGATGAGCATTTTGATGATGGGTATACCATAATCGACATCTGAAGTAATAGCAATAAAATACAAAGGTCTGCGACTAATATGTTTGATTACTTTATTCACATCTGCATCACATTCAATTATAAAGCGAACAAAATTTTGAAATGAGATCCTTAAAGACAGAAATAAATCAAGATGAACAATGGGTTCGACGGTTATCTCGAAATTGTCATAAAAGTTTTCTTATGAAGAAACACTTAATTAGTAGACAAAAAATTCTACGATAATTTTCCTTTTCTGCTTGACACAGTAAGTCGAATGATAAATGTAACTATAGGAAAAATACTTTTCAGAGATGTGAACTAAAATCTGACCATTACGCCAAGACGATATAATGAATAAGATCTCTATTTTTTTATAATTTGTGTTGAAATCACGACGCAACCCTTGCTGAACAAGACGAATAAGTATGTGTTTTTCATCTTTCGTAATCATGCTTTCTTGGACGAACTAAAATAAAGGAAAAAAGAAAAATAATTATATTGTTTTTTATGATCTCTACATAAATTTCATGTTAAATCATTTTTTCATTGAGTCTAGTGATCCTCATTCACGAAATATTGATGGATTTTTTTCTCAAGGGCAGATATGTAATCAATTATTGTAGAAAGCTGTCAAGATTTAGTTGAAGATTAATTTAAATGACAAAACACTTACTGCATAAAGTTTCACGATTACAATATGAGCTGAGATATAGTTTAACTTGGTTTTTTTGAGAACAGATATTTAACTACTAAATGTGTAAATATGAAGTCTAATCTAACAAGTGTAACGAAAGTCATACGCTATCATGACCATGCCAACTAATGACTGCGTGAATCTGTTCCAAACAGAGTTCGAAGAAACATTGATTATCATGAGTGATGAGGAGACATGAAATGAAAATAAAATTAACCGCAAAAAAAATCAAGTCTTTTTCGATGCCAATGTATGTTGATAAAGTTCTCTACAGTTGTACCAAAAAAAAACCATCGAGACATTGTGAACATTAGAAAATATGTGCAATACAATGTCGTATTCTACATACCAACAAAATTCCTTATGGGACCGAAATTATTATAATCGCTCTCTCTCTCTCCTTAAGAAGTCATCTCCAATCGATTGAAAAATACTCGTGAAGATTACTTCATGAAATTCGAGCTGCTTTCCGATGTATCAAATAACGACAGAGAACCGTTTGCGAGGGATCAAAGTCTTTTGTACAAGCTGAACTCTTTTTTGACATGTTTGATGCGATTTGATAGAAAGAAATACTCGATTTTTACATTGTAAGCAGTGAAACACAAGTAATCTTCTCATTAAGTGTCTTCTACTTCTAATTGTCTTCGTCGCATGTATTCATGCAAGTGAGTAGCAGAAAAGATTCTGTTTCTACATCAGCTCATGGCTTCCAATTGAATGGTATCGGTCCCGAACCCGAAATGTTTTTTCAGAAAGGATACTTTTTTGCACAAATGTGTTGCTTTTATGATGGATTTTCAGTCATTCGTGAACTCCGTACCAATATGCATAAAAAAAAATACTAAGAAGATGTCGACAGATTTACCACTATGCATGTAAATAAACAAAGATGACTTCTTGAAAGTGATCATTTTTTAGTTACCCGACGAGAAAAGATATGACTAAGCCTTTTTTGACTTTTACAGCAAAATAAAACTTAATATTGCGCTACATGTTTGATCGCAACTAAAAGGCACACATCTTTTCAAGAACTACAAAGTTGCTATCCTTATCCATTACAATACGACCAAGTAAGACAAACAAAAATTTACTTCTTTTTACTAGAAAGTTGATTATATCGAAGTTTTCTGATATTGTTTGTTCAATTTTCCATTCTTACATTTGGAATCAAATGTTTTTACAAGTTCTTGCTGAAAATTTCACAATACATCTTTCGTTTAAACGGACAAAATAAGAAATCACTCATTTCTACTTGTTTGCATTGAATAACCTAGTCAAATTAATTTGCTTCTCTTGGACATTTTAATCGTGAAGTGATTAGAAAGAAAATGCATGCTATCTTCTTTCTTCTAACTTTGATCTATCATGTTGAAGAGCTATTTCGTCATTGGAAATCATCCGAGTCAAACAACCATCTGCGTAGTTTTATTTATTGACTTCTAAATAATAGACAACAAGAAGAAGAATCAAAGACAAAGTGGTGTCGCCAGATAAATAATCAATCGTGTATCAACTGGAAAGGAAAGAATATCGTTAACTCGGAGCGAACCTCGTTGTTGCTCATGTTCATAGAGTATTGATTTGGAATTGTCGTTATTCAACGCACGTACACTGACATGATACATCTCTTTCTCAATCGTCAAGTCTAATGTAGCACCATTATATTTGAGACCATGAAAGACAAGTTGTGTTGATCGATTGGGCAAACGACTCGGTGGCATTATTTCAAGTTCATTAAGAGTTAAACGAAGACCACCGTATCCGAAAAGTACTGCTTGCAGAAAACCTCCTGCACCTGTTATAAAATTGACAGCACCAACTCCAGATCGAGCTTCAGTCCACACCTAAATTCGAAAACTGAATGAATCAATACGAAGAGATTCAACTCACATTGAATGGTGGTCGAACATAGGTTTCGTACGAACGTCGAAAGAGTTCTTCCGCTAGTTCAAAATCGTTTAATTCAAGATGTCCGATTGCATGCATTGACCAGGTCATAGCCGGTCCATCGTCTCGAGTCAGACGTTCATAGGTCAACAGATCGTTACGTCGTACTTCTTTACTCATCGGCCACATCAATGGAAAACCGAGAAGAACTACATCGGCTTGTTTTATAGTCGCATTCTCTACAAATACAACTGACATGTTCAAAAACAATTTCATTCTCAGACAAATCATAATGAAAATCATCGAGTCGGCAAATATTCTTCAAGAGAAATGAGGTATAGATTGACATACTAGGATTGAAATTTTCATATTCGAGATGAATTTGAGTGACATTGTCGAATGGAAAATAAAGATTATTGGCTATGTCGAGCCATAGTTGAGGCACCAGCTTTTCAGTTATACAACCGACTTGATTTGCTAATTGAATGGAAAGCGAAGCAACAGCATTCGTAAAGACGGAATTGTTCTTGAACGGTTGAGCATCTTCATCAGGTGGCAATACCACTGTATAAACACAATCCCATATGATCAATCATACATAAAAAATGAAATACTTTACTCAAGATTTCGTATTGATTTCGGTCCGAATTATATATCGCTCTCGACGCCCAAAATCGTGCCGTTTCATAGATGAGATCACCACCCATTTCGGTCTTCAACCATGACTGATCACGTGTTGCGGCAATATATTGTCTTGCAGAAAAAGCTATATCGCCAGTGATATGCATCTGATAGAGACGAACTTCGGGACAACAATCCGGAGTCACATCGATTCCTGTTCGTGCACTCTCCCAAGGATATCTACGAGCCCATAACATAAATAAAAATGAGCGAACCAAAAATCTTACCTCCACCCCTCATAGCCAAATAGATCAGCATTATACGTGGCTGCATCACGTAGGGCGATGCGATATGAAAGAATTTCTTTAGCTAATCTAAATCGAACAAATACAAGTTTTACTCTCGATTATTGTGCTAAACAAAAATTAAAACAGACATACGTTGGATAGAAGAGAAGAATCGATGGATACATCCATGTTTCCGTATCCCAAAATGAATGACCGCCATAATCTTCTCCAAGACGCCCACCACGAGATAGACTACCAGGGCTCAGTCCGTAGAATTGTTTATGTTCACTACGTGTGGATAATGGCGGAAGCGAACTGAGAATATAATATAGAGCAGAATTCACTTGTCGTTGTAGTTCAACATCGTCACGAATGTCAATTCGTCCATTTAACCAGACTTGGTTCCAAAGAGAAGCGTGCGATGACCATATTTCATCCGGTTCTCGTTCATTAGATGCTATTGACAAAAAACAATTATTCAAATTCGAAATCTTCATTCATCAGATGTTGGATTCAAGAAAAGATTGTCCTCTTGACAAAATAACCCAACAACGTACCGTAATCAAAACTTCGTTTCGCTCGGACTTGTTCTGTGTCGAGTGAAGTGACAAACAAATAAGTTCGACTGGTTTCTTGTGCGCCAAGTTGAAAACCGTCGGTCGGTAATGGTGTATAGTACATAAATAGGGATAGTCGATCGTTTTGAAATAGATTATTCTCCACTTCTCTTGTCGTTCCCAACAAAAGTCTTTGATGAAAATCAAATAAACTCATTAAAAAAATTGTTCTGATACTTACACGTGTTTATCATCACGAGACAAAATTTGAAGATCGAAATCAATGCTGGTCGTTTGTTCATTAACTTCCACTGGTACAACAATCGCATGACCTATGATAACATGTCGACGAAGACATTGAACATGAGTGCAAGATTTTGATTGTTCTACCTTTTGATGTCAATCGAGTAATGACTACATGAGCAAGTAACAGTTCAGTATATTCTTGTGAAGCAAAAATTCGTCGTTCAATTCGCACTTGATCATTTTCGAGTTTTTCAGTGAATGTTCCTTTGAAATAAAATCGACCTTTTAGAGAGAATCATACTTTGACGAAGCTATTCTCACCGGATGCGACATCAAGCGAGTACAACGATGATGATAATGACTCTAATTTGAATTGCCAATTGTGAATACTTGGAATACGAGCTCGATGACTCGTACCTATTTCATTCAGAATAAACGAGTGTAATAGAAAGTGAAAGAACAACAAACCGTTGACACCATTATAGAGTCCATTCATATAAATGAAATCACTGAAAATAACTGTTGCTACATGTCCATTACCCACATATGCCATGAGACGATAGTCGATTGAAGAACCATTTAAGGGTAATCTACATATTCACTAAAGAAAAGAGATTCTTCCAATCAATGTTTACTTGTCTGTACTGAAAATGGTTGTCGAAGTTTGTGGATCAACAGATGTTCGACGAGTAAGAATAAGAACTGGAGGGAGAATAGTGACGAGACACACTATAATGACGATCAAAATAACGATTGCGATTAGGATTTTTTTGCGTTTGTTGCGCTGTGGACTATTTGCAGGATAAACATCCGCGCCACCTGCACATAATCGTCGAAAAAATGAGGCTTCCGTAATTGAATTTGATGACATTTTGCTAAATCGAAATCCTTGGTCAATCTGATACGCATACAAAATACTTCCAAACGACAGTGAACTTCAACGAAATATGATCGTCTTGTACAATACGATGGAATAATTTATGATCGTCAAGTATCGTGATAAAATGGCTATAATTCATATCTAAGAAAGTGGGACAGATTACAATCGTATATGGGCTTTTACGATCGTCATAATTTTCAATCTTGAAAGAGAGTTTTTATGTTCGATATGTACTCTTATACGATACCATTAAAACATCTGAATAACTTGTTGGACTTATTCAGCATCTTATAATCGGAGAAGCGAACAAGTCATCACGTTTTGAATGATTTAAGCCATTAATCAATAGCCGTTCTTTATCTAATATTTGAAAGAAAAGTTTACTTTCATCGATGAACTATATTGAGAGTAGCCATCTTATTGGGTTTATGATATTTCCAGTGAGCCGGGAATCTTACTCATAGCTACGATTTAAGAAAAAAAACATAGATTTATCAGGTGCATATGTTTCATTGTTTCGGTGATTCATCCATCAACACTTTGACAATGATCTTGCTCTTCTCACCTTGAAGATCTGTCGTAGAGAATTCGTTTTCTATGTTCTTCATTCACCTCCGAAATTCAGAAAGGATAATAAAAGAGCTGACATGTAGAAGACAAGGTCGATCGTCAGAACAGAACGAAAATGCAATAAACTCGACGAATGCGAGTGGTACAATAGCACAATGCACTGTTCATTTTGTTTACGTACAACGACATGCAAAGGTCTTGATTCATGTGATCGTTAGTCGGATGTGGAGTGTGGTTGTAGTGGTAAGTTCAAAGTTCAAATGCACCCACACCCACAAGTATGTTCATTCAGGTCTCATCGTCGATTCTCAGTTTTGCTTGCTTCATATATGTTACGCTTTAGTAACAAAACTTTTACTAAAAAGATTTCTTCATAAAATTAATGAAGGAATCAAACATGGTTTTATTCGAATGTAACATACAAAAAAAAACAATTCATTTAACAAGCAAAAACGGCAGATCTCAATGACAATTTCATTTAAATACAACATATAAGCATATAACTAATCTAAACGAAACTAATTCTATATTAACGAATGAGGCAGCAATAATGGACACTTGCACTTTTTGTTTTCAACATGAACAGAAATTATCAGGGATCCATTTTCCACGCTGCGATTAGTAGTTGCACAAAATTTTTCTTTTCTTCAAAACGAAAAGTATACAATTAAAATAAGTTTTACTTCGAAGATTGTAGAGCTTTTTACGCTTCATCTTGTGGTATATTCTGTTTCTTCTTAAGAAAACATATTAGATGATAAAAAGATGATGTAAGAAAAAAACTGATCTTCTTCGAAGCGTCGAAAATTGGTCGCACAGAGTTTTGTGCATTTTAAAAACAAAAAGGTACGACTGTGAAATATGCTGTTCTTCGTAAATTGTAGAGCTTTTCGCGCTGCATCTTATGATATATTTCGTCTTTTTAATGCAACGTATTAAGTCATGATAAAATGAAATGTAAAAATGCTCCATTATTTCTGCCTCACCCATTATTTATAACAATTAAAAACAAGAAGGAATAATTTTATTTTAAATTGAATAATGATCTCTTTAATAAAAAGCCAACAGAAATATTTTCAATGAATTTGTTAAAATTACTGAAAATATTGAAGATAATCTATTACGGTGTGGGCGTGGGTGCTGGTCGTCTGTAAAGTCCTATACACACACCCATACCCACACCCACACCATCCACTATGGTTTCAATGAACCTGAAGGTCTCTCGTACTCACAAAACTCCATAAGAGGAAAGAATTATTTAAGATTCAGATTTCTTGTTTGTATTTCGTAGAGAAGACAAATTAAATGTTGATCCGGTATCACCAAAAAGATCATTATATAGTGATGTTATTGATGACAGTGGAAATATTCACGCTTGAGTTCATACCGTAGCTAATTTCATTTAAACGATTATGTTTATATCAGTGTTGGACGCAAAATAATGCAAGCAACAGCTTACGATAGATTCAAATTAGTGATCACATATAGTGTATTTGTGAACCAATTAGGGTGTGGGTGTTGGTTATAAGAACTTTTACATTCACACTCACACCCACACCCTACTTCACTTAAGAAATCGAACAAAAATAATCTGTAGGCAGATACGACTCTAGTGAGGAAATGTTTTTTTTCTCAATTCTTTCGAGAAAGTCAAATTTATCGAATATATATTACCAGCGAACGAAAACGGTCACAACTAAGTCGAAGAAATACCTATTTTTAGCAATTATTTTCCAAAATCAGATTATTGCTAAAGAATATCATTTATTATTGTTCAGTAGTCTGTGTTGGAGTTCCGAATAAGACACAATAAAGCATTAATTATTTTTTCTCTTCATTTTCCAGCCTCGTGATATCATCTTTTATTGTGGTTTCAAATTGGCAGTATCATCGAACAGCAAGAAGTTTCTCCTTTCTTTTTTGCTGCTCTCAATTGAGAACTCATTCGATCATTTTCTAACTTAACATAACCAGCAATGCCGTTTGTATATATCATACACAAGCAGCTTGATGGAGAGATGAAATTTCGAGAGAAAACAGAACATCAAAGGTGACTGAATAGGTGAAACAATCATTGATAGGGGAAACTATATTGATTCGCAAGAGCCACTAATAACTGACAATGGAAATCTTATTGTCGATTGGAAGTTTGATCCATGATTTGTGACTTCAAATTTGTCAGATATCAATCAAATGAAAATTCTTTCATAAATCATTAGAATTTTATCAACACGTCATGATAGTGCTTCGATTATTTTTTGCGAAATACAATTTTCAAGTTTTTCGAATCGTTTAATTTTAAATCAGAAAAATTAATTTTTTATTTTAACTGTACAGCGTTGAATAAAGAAAGTGAACATATTTTAATAAATCAACAATAAAATATGTCAATCGTTGATCATTTTTGTTGCAAAACCATGTTGCAATGACATTTTCATCTTTTGTACTTTTTCAACAAGATCAAATTTAGTTGATCAAATGCTGCTCATAATCTTTCATTGTCGAATATCAAAACATATCCAAAATCTGAAAATATGATAATTCGATAGATCGATAAAATCAATTGAATTTATCTACTAAATCTATTAAACATGCATTTCTATTTAGATTGATAGATAAAATTGATGCAGTCATTATTGATTTATAGTTATCAAGATATCTCGATTGGAAGCCGTTGCTCATGACATTATTTGTTATCGCGTATTAAGAAAAAAAATCAGTATACTGTTCATTCGTCTCGAATTGAACATCAACATTAACAAAAGCGATGAATTGCACAAGTTCATCCTCATTCTCCATCGATTCCTGATAAAAAAAAGTAACTGTTCGACTCTTGTTTGTGTTTTTATTCAGTGATACAAGATCGAATTGTCAATAACAATAAAAACAAAAGAAAATCTTTCAGAAGAATTTATTCTATGACCTCAGTCTAAGCTCATCAATCTAGAAGAAGTATTATACTACTCAAAGAAAAGAATATAGATCGATGAGAAACAATTCGAATGCAACATTGAAAATACTTAAGGCTATCCAAGAGTGATCGCAGTGATACTTTAATTCCTTATAAAAAGCTTGAAGAAATTCTTTCTTTATATGAAATGATAGTAAAAATGACGCCCTATTTTTTCACTGTTATTACATCATTTCATAAGTAATATCATAATAATAAATTTCAATAATACCCATTTTTCTGTCATATGTGACAGTTATACTAATGAATATTAAAAAAAAGCAAGGCAGAGTAGATATTTTTTGAATAACTTCTGGTGAAAAAGATATAGAGAGTTGCGACATTTATCGATCGAAAAAGAAGATAAAGATGCATCAAATCGCAGATTTCATGTTTTCATACTATGTGCTTTAAAGTTTGTTTAATCAATTTTACAAGTGTGGAAAAAACTGTTTCTTTTTATCAAAAAGAAAATAATAAAAAACTCTTTTTCACAGAAACGTCTGGGAAAATCTGAAAATTGTGCACTCTTGTAGATATTTCCTTAGCTATTTGAAAATGCCCATAACAATTGAAAATTTGCTGTGAATACCTCACGGAATACGTTTGTTTCTAAAGAAATTGCTTGAAAATCTTAAACAGATTATGTCAAAAAGAATCATTTTATTTACGAATCGATTTATCTTTTTGTCTCCTCTTTCAAACGATACAGGCCACAACTCTATATCTTGCTTTTATCAAAAGTTATTTAAAATATATCTACTCCGCATTTTTTAAATAGACATCAGTACAACCGTCACACATGACTGAAAAATACATGCTATCAAAATTTTATTATTATGATATTACTTGAGGTGTGATGTAATAGCACAGTAAAATAGAGCATTGTTTTTTCTATCAGTTCATATAGAGAGAAAGTTTCTTCAAACTTTTTCTAAGAACTCAAAGTGCCTATGCCACTACTTTTGGATAGCCCTAAGTAGATAAAATTCTAAAATTTGATGTGAATCGACAAGAAAATCATTGATGATGGAATTGATCTGTTTTAATACTAACAGTTTCTGGTTCTTGAAAGACAGAAAACATCAATTTTTTATATTGACAAAAGAATAATTTGTCGAAAACAAATCGATGAAACATTAATCACAAAGAT